ATATCGTTAGATTCGACACGAGCGATTACGCGATCGACAACGCGTACATCTTCGCCCTGAGTCCAACGAATTCGGTCATGATCGCACCGTTATTCTCGTCCTTCATCAAGCCCAACACTTTTTTGTTCTCGAGCGTTATACCGTACGCGTTGTCGATCGCGTAATCGCTCGTGTCGAATCTAACGATATCGCGTTTCACGTTCTCGTACACATCCTCGCACTCGATGTGGTATATAAGGCTGTCCGTATCGGTGTACATAATTCTACACATGTCACCATACAGGAGAGACATGTACTCGTGATGAAATTCGTACAAACAGACTTTCGATATGTCGAGAATGCACATGCCGACGTAAATAGGTTTGTCAAATTTAACCTCGAGTTTTCGCAGTTCAACGGCTATCAGATTTTCCGAAAACACGCTCCTGCTATGAAAATTTGGTTTCGAGATCAGTGCCTCCGCGTTGCATCTACCTTTCCACTTTGTCAGCAATTTTACATCGACGTGATTGCGAACATTTTCCATCGTTTTCCCGAAAATCGCGTTGTTCATCAATTTATATAAATTTTTCTCAAACTCGTTCTTGGCCAGTGTTCTAAATTTCGTATTGAGCTCGATGTAAGTGCGGAGCCACGTAGATTGAGTGAATTGCAATACGCGATGTATCTTTGTGACCCGAATGCCGTGTCGCGTGCACTGCTGTAGGTTGCGATAATGGATGACGTAACGCTTCTTATCGTACAGCGTGTCAAGAAGTTTGTCCTGTCGTTTGCCGGGCGGTTTGTCGCGCGTCGGACAGAACGGTAGGTCAGCGTGCGCGTCGTGTATATTCTGCGGATACTCTAGATCGACCTCAAGAATATAACCCGTGGGCGAATCCGAAGCGATCGCGCTAAAGTCGAAATTCGAAACGTCTTCGACCCATCGAAACTCCGCGTAGGGCAGTGGCTCACACATCGCCCAGCCGTACAAGTTGTTTACATCGAAGTACATCAAATACAACGACGGTTTCGATGAATCGTACGACTGCATGTACTTGTTGTTGGCCCGCGCGTATCTGCCGGAACATTGACTCAGACCACCGCGTATACCGCGTTCGATGAACATAACCATGTCAATGTCGGTGAGCAGTTCGAAATTTACGCGAGTATGCTTCAACATGGCGTCCCATGTGAAACCTGGCAAAGTATAGTAGTACGCGGGATCGAGTCCGTAACTCGCTATACAACTGTCGCGGAAATTTTCAAAAACGTCAGCCAATAACAAGACATCGGTCTTTAGATACAGATCGCTGTATTCGCCCAAGGTTCGAACGGAGAACCGTCGCCAGACGTTAGCGGCGTGCTCGTAATCGCTCTCGGATACGGTGTCACCGGTCAAGGAACTGTAAAACGATTCGCGCGATGGTAAACACGTGTCCTCCAGCTTGTCCACACAATCCACGTATTCGTACGGAAATACGCCTTTTCGCGTCAAAAGATCAAAATCCTCGGTCGATAATTGTAAAAATTGAGAACGTACAATTTTTAACTTATCTCTGCATAGAAAAGATGCTAATTTATCGAGGCTGCTACTCAAAAATTTATACAAATCGATAAACCGTAATTTTATGTCGCTTCGCGAACCTGATTTTTCTGCGGTATCTTTAACGTGTTTCGTGAACGAAATGTATTTTTCTTTCGTGATTGGAAGTAAGTCTACGTGTCCTTCGTACGCTGTAGCTATTTCCTTGATAATAAAATGCGCGTTGTAACCCGATAAATTATGAAAAATTATTGGAATGTAATGCGAATCTGTGTAATTTAGATTACAGTTGGAATGCGCGGGAACTCTATAACGACCGGTCAGATGACAATGATCGCGTACTCGCACGTCGTCTGGCTCGAACGGTTTTTTGCAAATGTGGCAATGCGTCGCGCTGTGAAATATCTCCCGCTCGTCTCGCGTTAATTCCGTCATGCAAACATTACCGGATAAAATACTCTTTACGTCGTGTGCTAAACGTCTTAGTTCCTCGACGAACCACGCGACGCAATCCTTATCGCGACAAAATCGATACGCGGATAACGAGTCGTCGTACGAGCACCGCACGTAATATCCTACGCTAAATACCCGATGATGTTGAGACGTGTATGTGAACGTTGTCGGATCCGCATCCGTCTTTTCGAGGGTACATTCCAGGTCAGCGTACACGACGAACGGAACTCATTCCTTCCTGCTGTGATTCTTAAAACTCAGCCACTTGTCGTCCTCGCTCGGTAGTCGAATCGCACAGTTGTTTATCTCTCGGCAGTCTACTCCGTGGGCTTCCAATTTTTCGCTCGATCTAAAATAATGTAAACAACTGCAAAAGAAAAACACATTTTTTTTTTTAATTTTTTATATTAAAAATATTTTTATAATTTTATTAAAAAGGAGTATAGGTACTCACCGATCGCAAAAGTATTTCCGACCATTGTGCCTGCTCAATTGCGAGCTAACAAGACGCGATAGATTTTTTATCCACGCAAAATGCCCCACGTTGTTGTCTCGCGGGTCCTGCACGTACAGCAAATTGACGTGCTTTTCTCTCTTCAGGTCGGTGAGATGTATCGGGAGAACGGTTGGAGTCTTCTCTCCCTCGATGGTATACACATTGATGGATATATCGTTGAGTCGTTCGAACTTTTTAATCTGTTTCAAAATCATTGGAAACTCAATGCCTTGTAAATTTAATACTGTTGTGTAATGTCGGTACGAGGATTCCCGTTCTGAATGTTTTTTGACTGGATGTAAAGCAGCCACCACTGACCACGCGAAGCATGCATTGTCCATAGAATGCACGTTGATCACCGTTTTCTTCGATTTAATTTCTTGCGGTAAATTGATGTAACATCCCGCGTGCAAAGGATTGTATTTGTTCACGTTCACAGTCAAATTGAGTATACGCAACAACGCCCACCCGCTGTCGCGTTCCTGAAACTCTTCGAGACGCGATAAAGTAGGCTCGATAACGTGTCGCTCGTACCACTCGCGCAGATCGGACGCACGAAAGAGTTCATAGTTTCCCGTGCCGACACTTTTGTTCGCACGTTTGTCACCCGTCACATACTCGCCGTTGAACACAGTGTTTATCTTTACACTTGCGTGTCTTTGCATGACGTTCCGCACACGATCGAGCACGATGACTTCAGCGTCTTCGAGAAATTTTCGCGGTTCGATGTAATTGATATTTATCACCGCACCGGTCGATACACGGTTTTCGAACGCGGCATCGATCTCTCGCCAAACGAGTCTTTCCGCGTTATCGTCACTACTAGCGGCGCCCGCCGCGTACTCACCACCGATATGTATGTACGAACCGTCTCTGTAATAGAGTCTTCGCACCTTCGAGTCGCGCGATTCTTGCCACTAAAGATTGTCTGTTTACGTGGCTCTCATCTGTGATTGAGAGCCGCGGACGTTTGGAACGACAGTCTTCTTCGAGCTGCTCAATAAATTTCTCGCATCGCCGTGTCCATGTAAAATATTTGTCCAAGGTAGCGATTTGGTTGGATTGTTCCAACAGGTTGCGTTCCGTTTCATCTGATGTTCCATGTTTTGTTTTTAATACTGTCTTTTTTAGATCACGTTACATTCTTCGATGGAGCACTTGCACGTGACTCGATCGCACGCTGAACAGTATCGTTTGCCACTTTGAATGCGATAGTGGTCAAACATAAAAAAATAAGGCCTGAAGTAGGGGACATTAATCATCCAATTATCACTATCATCAAGGTCACGTTCATAGGTTTTTTGAAGCATCAATGGATGATTAGGATTATTGAAACGGTGAGGGTACATATACAAACGTATCGAATTGTTCATCACCACCAATTCGACGTATTTCCCAATACCTGTATGAATCTTAATGTATGTTGCTTCACAATCATAGAGCTGTTCACAAAATTTAGACGCCCAATAGCGATAGTCAACAATAGGCACAACGTCAGTACAGCGAGCTGCACGTGATTCTTCCTCGCTAACGCACTCGTCCCGCAGCCGTCGATACACTTTTCGTCTCACGTTAGAATCCCAGTCATAAGGAGAAGAGGCATCGATAACGACTCTTTGTCTAGCGAAGCGTTAACCGGTTCCGCGTATACCGAGTTCGCGATCGCGAAGAAACTGCACCGGCGATATTCGTCGCACATCCCTCAATTTCACTCCTTGATCTTCTTCACGCAAACCATTGATGATATCTGTTGTAATACATTCCATTTGTATATCATCTCAAGATTTTGGAGGCTCCACAGATTTCTCTTCAATTATCCGCACGTGTTCCGTCATGTTGCGCACGTTGTGTATAATGTCCCACTCGCGATAATGTTTTTTTTTTTTATCACTTCATGCAAGTCGGGCACATGTTGCACGGATATATTTGGAACAATAGAGTATTACGACAATCTGTGCAAAATTGAACGTTTATTACCTCGTACGGTTCGGTTACATGCTCTCGATATTTACGTATGTGCTCACCAGTGTCTGGTGCAGCGATCATACACGAATAACACAAATTATCTGAACTATATTCAAAATAAAAATAAATTGCGCAACACTTTGTACGTCCATCTAACGCTAAAAATTCGGGACGCGACACTATTTTTTTCATAACTTCTCTACGGTTATCGTCTCCATCGCTGTTATAAGTGCTGTCCGGTGACAACGGACGATCCTCGTTGGATGAATTTGCATCCATTATTGCCACGAAATTATTGTTTTAAAAGCCGCGATAATATTTTTTTATCGTGTACAAATCGGGCACATATTACGCAGAAATATCATATACAATGATTCACGACATCTTGAACAATACCGGCCATGCGTCGTTCCGCGTCTCTCAACGAAGTGTTTTAGGCGAGCGTACATGCCGAAATTAAGGTCCCATAGAGTAACCATGCATGGAGCACATAGTGCAAGTGCACCACCCGTTGAATAATAAAAATAAATTACACAATGTCTCACACGTAGATTTAGTTCAACGATTTCCCAACGCAGCACTATTCTATCGATGACTTCTTCATGATTGTCGTCTTCGTCACTAAAATAGTCGCTGTCGTCCGTTAACTCGCGATCCATATCTGAATTATTGTCATCTCCTTTATTGTGAAAAATATTTTTCTGTATTGAATACTTGACACAAAAAAACTTTACCCGCAAATATGAACGTTCGCGTCGCGAAAGCTAGCCGAAGACTGTGATCCGCAAGATGTGGATCCATAATCATCCTGGCGACAATGGATGTTATGCGTTTGTATAATTATCGTTAGACATATTTTGTTTATACATTCCAGCAGCCGGACATCGGCGCTCGCTTTTTGTAATATGCCGCGCCATAACCGAATACCGCCGCGACGGTTAAATCGTAATCTGCAGCGGCTCTTTCTAGAAAAAACATGAAGAAGACTCCGCAACGGTTGAATCGTCATCGGTGACAAATTTTATCAATTGTTTGCCTCGGCTATTTTATCTTTAAACCGTCGTCGGACCATCGGCGCTCGCTTTTGTAGTGTGCGAAACGCCGTAACCGAATGGCGGCTCGCATGTTCTAGAAGGGTGAGATCATTGCAGAGACAAGTGTCTAACTCGCTATTTTGTTTACAGTCGCAAATCTGTGCATCGACGCGATGCTCCATCTATCGAGTAGAATTGTTTTTTAGTGCGCTACCGTAGTATGTAAAAACAAAAAATATGTAAAAGAAGAATAAAAAATGTATTTTTTTAAATATAAATCACGACTTAATTTCTTCATATGCATTTCTATTCGAGTCGTATATGCGACGTTCGACTCGAACCACTCAGACCACTTGAAATTTAAGGTATCGTATATCGTAACCTATGAAGCGATGCTCCGGCGACGCTCGCCTATTCGTATATCGTAAACTATGAAGCGCTCGCCTTTGTAGCGTGAGACTTCGCTGGAAGCGACTATCAGTTTACACGACCGCCATTATATTTTTCTCTGGCGACTTCAGTCTCATCGTAGCCGTGAGCCTGCTTGAACGTGTTTCGCCCGAAAATATTTTTTTCGAGGATTAGTGACGCCTTTGTGATTGTTTTTTACTTTCTTGTTTGTGATGCCTCCAAACCTTCCCCCGTATCAGGCTAAATACGTAAAATTAAGTGAAATTGTGGGAAGTGCCGAAGATTTAAATGATTTTAATTTTAATTTTAACGACTTTGATAATTTTAATTTTAACGACTTTGATGATTTTAATTTTAACAACTTTGTCGCTGCTCTCCCGCGTCTCCCGCGTCTCCCGCGTAGCCCGCGGACGAACGGTGGCGGACGCGGGCTTATCCCTTGCGGGCGGCCAGTACTAAACATTAATATCGCGGAATTTTTTGATTTTGACTTTGACATTGATAACTTTGAATCTGATAGTGATAGTGAGATTCAGGAGACAAAGTCCGCCGCTCCCCCGCGTCAGCCACCCGCGCCCCGGCTCCCAACAGTTCAGGTGGGCACGCCACCCGGTG